GATGATTTCTGAGGGGTGATTAAAGGATAATATAATTCAAATTTACTATAAATTTTCTGACAATTTATTTAAATAGGCTATATGGCGAATTTTGGTACAATAAAAGAAGTAGAATTATATAACTAAAATGAATGAATGACGTGAATGGGCATATGACATGTAACATTGCAATCGTTACCAAATTTTACATACGTACATACGTGTCTAGAATACATGTGGATATACCTTCGTTCCAAGTTTCATGTATATAGTTTAATTCTAATTACCTTTTTTCCACGATTAACCCGGGTCAACAAAATAAAATTAGCTATTTTGGACGGTTTTTAGTTAATAAAATTGGTAAATATTTTTTAATCGTTGCCAAATTTTACATACGTGTAGAATACATGTGGATATATCTTCTTTCCAAGTTTCGTGTAAATATCTACATTCCAAGTGGTTTTTTTGCTAAATGTATTGAAACAAGGAGTCCCCAAAAGGACCCCCCCCCCAAGGGGAGGTTTTGTTAATAAGGAGTCCCCAAGAAAATGAAAACTAAATCGGTCCTGGGCCTAGGTCTTACCATGCCACCTAGGCACCTACGGTAATAACTACTTTCCTATTACTCGCTAAAACGTTCACTACTTGAACTTTACCGATCGCCGATATACTCGTATATATCTAAGTTTATTAAAATACGATAGGTATATAAAAAAATAAACTATCGATATATACATATATAAAAAATTTAACGAATGGTGTTTTTGGCCTCTGGGGACATCAAAATGAAAAAGTAAATCGGTCCCGCGTCTAGGTCTTACCATGCCACCTACGGTAATAGCTTACTTCCCTATAGGGAAATTCGCTAAAAGGAAGAACTTTTAAGAGCTTAACTTTTAATTAACCATAAATAAAAATCTTAAGCTCAATACTGTTTTAATAAAGGTTCTATAATAGAGAATGTTTAGAATACTGACTGACAGACCAGTTAAAATGTCCATATTACTTTTAAAATGTTAAAAAGAAACTCTTCCCATACTATGTTTCTTGTAAACACTCGAACGTCTTTAGCCAGATTACCTTGGTTTCGTTGTTCTTCAACCATTATTTTTACGTCATCGAAAAGCGTGGCATCTTGACATTGCTACGTACAATTCCCCATGTTTTTTTACATTTCAGTACATTTCCCTAAAGCAGGGCTCTGGCAGGTGACCAAGATTGTCTCTCCTTGAATTTTGTAATAGTCATGGAAAAAGCGATTCGACAAGGGAATTGTCGACGTTTGAATTTTAGAGGAAAATTTCTTTCTGATGGTTCTAAGCTCAATTGGGGCAGTAACACTTGTTTTCCAGCTGAACTTCCAGTAATAATTTCAAGACTTAGGACTTAATCATTCATCTCTTTCACCTTTAATATGTTTTTTTTAATCAGTCCTTAAGGTGGATTTAAATTTCTAAGTCAAATTACAATTACAATTTTTTTGGCATAACTTATGAGGAGGTAAACCACTTGGTGCTAAAGTGTGAAGAAATTCACCAGGCACGTGTAACTGGTCTCCCTCTTCTTGAATCAAAGTGTCCACTGAGTAGTAAACTCGGCTGTCATCATTTAGTTGCTCAACTATTTTATTATTTATTTCGTCTCAAAGTTCATTCTTTGGTGAAAGTATTGCATGATTTTTTGTCCTTTTTAAAGCATCTTCAGAGAATCCTTAACTGAAGATTTTGTCAATAATATTTTAATTCACAATACATTGGGGCGGAAGACGTATTACCAAAGATACCACCAAGCACCGGAGACTCACCAAGATCATTATGGTAGCTCTCTTGGCCATTATCTATTCATAAAAGATATTTAGCAAATATTGATTCACTTGGATTGGCTCTCATGTTTTTTGCAAGTAAAATCTTTTTAATCATTGGTCATAAAGGTGATCTAATTATTGAATTTTATACTATATTACACAGCAACTCGCACCAGAGACTATGGGAGCACATTGCCGAAAATCACCTCCCAAAACAATCACCTTTCCGTTTTTGTTTTTTTTAAGAAATGAATCATATGTTTGATAAACTTAACTAAATTTTCACCTATATTTAAAAATACATGGCAACTTTAAAGTCCAATGGGGCGAAGCACATTGAACTGAGCGTGACAAAAATTATTCCATGCCTTTTACAGATAATTCCCTTTAATTTGACACATCAATCATCAAAATCGGTTAATAAATAAAAGAGTTTCGCTGTGCACAAGAAATTCCTTACGGAATTAGTATAATAGGTTTTTTAATCGTTGCCAAATTTTACATACGTGTAGAATACATGTGGATATATCTTCTTTCCAAGTTTCGTGTAAATATCTACATTCCAACTCCAAGTGGTTTTTTTGCTAAATGTATTGAAACAAGGAGTCCCCAAAAGGACCCCCCCCCAAGGGGAGGTTTTGTTAATAAGGAGTCCCCAAAATGAAAACTAAATCGGTCCTGGGCCTAGGTCTTACCATGCCACCTAGGCACCTACGGTAATAATAGCTACTTTCCTATTACTCGCTAAAACGTTCACTACTTGAACTTTACCGATCGCCGATATACTCGTATATATCTAAGTTTATTAAAATACGATAGGTATATAAAAAAATAAACTATCGATATATACATATATAAAAAATTTAACGAATGGTGTTTTTGGCCTCTGGGGACATCAAAATGAAAAAGTAAATCGGTCCCGCGACTAGGTCTTACCATGCCACCTACGGTAATAGCTTACTTCCCTATAGGGAGATTCGCTAAAAGGAAGAACTTTTAAGAGCTTAACTTTTAATTAACCATAAATAAAAATCTTAAGCTCAATACTGTTTTAATAAAGGTTCTATAATAGAGAATGTTTAGAATACTGACTGACAGACCAGTTAAAATGTCCATATTACTTTTAAAATGTTAAAAAGAAACTCTTCCCATACTATGTTTCTTGTAAACACTCGAACGTCTTTAGCCAGATTACCTTGGTTTCGTTGTTCTTCAACCATTATTTTTACGTCATCGAAAAGCGTGGCATCTTGACATTGCTACGTACAATTCCCCATGTTTTTTTACATTTCAGTACATTTCCCTAAAGCAGGGCTCTGGCAGGTGACCAAGATTGTCTCTCCTTGAATTTTGTAATAGTCATGGAAAAAGCAATTCGACATGGGAATTGTCGACGTTTGAATTTTAGAGGAAAATTTCTTTCTGATGGTTCTAAGCTCAATTGGGGCAGTAACACTCGTTTTCCAGCTGAACTTCCAGTAATAATTTCAAGACTTAGGACTTAATCATTCATCTCTTTCACCTTTAATATGTTTTTTTTTAATCAGTCCTTAAGGTGGATTTAAATTTCTAAGTCAAATTACAATTACAATTTTTTTGGCATAACTTATGAGGAGGTAAACCACTTGGTGCTAAAGTGTGAAGAAATTCACCAGGCACGTGTAACTGGTCTCCCTCTTCTTGAATCAAAGTGTCCACTGAGTAGTAAACTCGGCTGTCATCATTTAGTTGCTCAACTATTTTATTATTTATTTCGTCTCAAAGTTCATTCTTTGGTGAAAGTATTGCATGATTTTTTGTCCTTTTTAAAGCATCTTCAGAGAATCCTTAACTGAAGATTTTGTCAATAATATTTTAATTCACAATACATTGGGGCGGAAGACGTATTACCAAAGATACCACCAAGCACCGGAGACTCACCAAGATCATTATGGTAGCTCTCTTGGCCATTATCTATTCATAAAAGATATTTAGCAAATATATTGATTCACTTGGATTGGCTCTCATGTTTTTTGCAAGTTAATCTTTTTAATCATTGGTCATAAAGGTGATCTATTTATTGAATTTTATACTATTACACAGCAACTCGCACCAGAGACTATGGGAGCACATTGCCGAAAATCACCTCCCAAAACAATCACCTTTCCGTTTTTGTTTTTTTTAAGAAATGAATCATATGTTTGATAAACTTAACTAAATTTTCACCTATATTTAAAAATACATGGCAACTTTAAAGTCCAATGGGGCGAAGCACATTGAACTGAGCGTGACAAAAATTATTCCATGCCTTTTACAGATAATTCCCTTTAATTTGACACATCAATCATCAAAATCGGTTAATAAATAAAAGAGTTTCGCTGTGCACAAGAAATTCCTTACGGAATTAGTATAATAGGTTTTTTAATCGTTGCCAAATTTTACATACGTGTAGAATACATGTGGATATATCTTCTTTCCAAGTTTCGTGTAAATATCTACATTCCAAGTGGTTTTTTTGCTAAATGTATTGAAACAAGGAGTCCCCAAAAGGACCCCCCCCCCCAAGGGGAGGTTTTGTTAATAAGGAGTCCCCAAAATGAAAACTAAATCGGTCCTGGGCCTAGGTCTTACCATGCCACCTAGGCACCTACGGTAATAATAGCTACTTTCCTATTACTCGCTAAAACGTTCACTACTTGAACTTTACCGATCGCCGATATACTCGTATATATCTAAGTTTATTAAAATACGATAGGTATATAAAAAAATAAACGATCGATATATCGAACTCAAACTCAAACGTTCACTACTTGAACTTTACCGATCTCCTATATATATATATATATATATATCTAAGTTTATTAAAATACGATAGGTATATCTAAAAATAAACTATCGATATATCGAAAAAATAATCGACAATAATGAGTGTTCCTTTTAACAGGAAAGTACAAAGGAGCCTTTTTTCTAATTATCATGCGTGTATGCCACCAAAAAAAGGAATTACTGGTATTATAGTGATTTCTTTTATAAAACGTATATAAGTGCAGACAAGGGAACAAGTACAGAACAATATACACATAGGGAAATTTCATGTTCACAGTTGGAACCTTTTCTATCGCTGTAAACATTGCTTATCTCAACATCAGCTGTTCGTGTTATCTCTACAGGAGGGAGGGAATGCAATAAAGCGTTCTGATTGGTTGATACCTTTGTCTGTCATAGACTGAGTTCGGGTAGGGGGATAAATGACTTTCAATCGACATTAAGTCAGTGTTTAGTTTTGGGATTGGGCAGTAGAACCGAAAGAGTTTGCATTTGCATTGGACTTCACGACTTCAGCAAGGTTGGGGTGTGTGTGTAAGTTGTATTAGCAACCTTTTCTGCCGACGACGAGACGTTACGAAATGAATAAAGATTGTCTGTCCTACTTTAGGTGACTAATAACCTACTTTACATTGTATGTAAAGGATCGGTAACGTGTTCCAAGGAAACAATTTGTGTTTGTATGCATCAAGTTTCGTCTGTTTACTGTTTTGTTTATATCGGTAAGGTTAGGTGCTCTTGTTTTACTGAGTTTAAGGATTTTCGGTAAATTTTATGAGTACTTAGTAGTACTGTAAGAGAGATGGTCAGAACAAATACGAATGTAAAACATGACGAGCCATTAACTTTTGTATTTAGTCAATGTTTTTAGAAAAGGAAAGATCATTAACAGGCTTAGAAACTTTTATCACAGATTAATAAACATATTTCATCTGTCAACGATGGAAGGGCGACTGGTTTATGCTAACAACAATGACAACTGGGAACATCAAGATGTAACACAAAATGGAATAGTTCAACCTCTTCTCACAGGTAAGCCATTATAAACGCCTAATATATAGGCTTTAGTAGGCTGCTAAACAGTTAAAATGGTAAGCATAGCCCGTATCTTAGTTTAGGCGGGTACAGTTCCGTATTGAACCTGCGATATAGGATGAATAAAGATATAGGCCTATACCTATATCAATATGTGTCTGCTTGGATTGCATCAATTAGCCTACTTATTTTAAACGCAGCTGGATATAAGTACGTCCAGTGACCGAACGTGGATTAGGAGTCCGGCAGTGACGTCACCAGGTTGTGGGGGCCCATTACCACCATACCACACCACCACCATTACACCATTACCACAACAATACGATCTACATCCATCGGTGTTCGTGGTGTAGTGGATAGAGTATTCAGCTGACGTACTAGAGGTATCTAGCTCGAATCCCATCGGTGACACTAACTTTTTGTCAAAGATTTTGCTTCTAGAATGCCATTTCTTCTTAACCCCTTAACCGCCGTCTAAGTAGCCTAGTCAAAATCCGCCATTGCCACTTATTTTTGCCGTTTTTGACGATTTTTACTTGTGATTTAAAAAACTGTACCAGTTGTTTTTTTAAAGAAAATAGTTATCAATATTGTTTGTAGACATCTTCAAAAACATTAAGCAAGCTTTAACAATACCCTACTAAAATTTGTGATTGGGGGGGGGGGTGGGGTTCGGGGTTTTCTTGAGTTAGGCCTATAATAAAAATTAGGCCTACAATAAAGTTTACAACTCTAATAAATCGTCATCCTCAAGCATGTCACCAGCCATTACGACTAATATTTACTACTCATTCAACACTAACAAGTAAATAACCAACCAAAAAAACAATTATAATGACACGCATAATGTACGTAAGCATTACGTAAGCTTCCGCAAGCACGAGTTTTACTGAAACTACGAATGGAACTGATCGGGACCATTACTGACCTATAATACCACTAAAATCCACCAGATTGCAGCACTAGTCAAGCAGCACTGTCAACAACTTGTTTACGTACGTATATCAGAGATAAGGCGGGAAGTGAGCTGTTAAAAATAAAACACAACAGCTGATTACGTCAACACGAGATAACTCGTACGTGGCGGTTGCTCTGAAAACTAGTATCGCCCGGCATATCTCGTGCGTGGCGGTTAAGGGGTTAACTGTAGGTACATATTTTGTTAGAATTTGAGGCATTTATAATTTTAATTTATGTACAGAATTTAACATTCATTCAATTTTTTTATTAGCAAGTTTGGTTGGTTAGGTTAGGTTACGACACTAATTGTTGGACGCCTAATCGGCGCTCGGTTACCGGCCGCGTATCCTCTGCCTATTTTATTTTAAACCACATGATGGATAATAACAAGAACATTAAGTTAACTTTTAATCGTTTATCATACCTACTTAGTTTGTGGTTTTAGTTGTTGTTTCATTTTTCATTAATTGTTATTTGTTTTTGGTAGGCTACTTAATATCTAGGCTATTACTTATTGTTTTTATTGATTAAATATTAAAAAATAAAATCGTAAACAAATCATAACTTAAGCTTAACTCAATTTGATGTTTACATACGGTAACTTAGTGAGAGAAAAAAAAGAGTCGCAGTCAGATTGGCACCACGACAGATTGGCACCATGGTGTTTTAGCACCCGGCGTCACATTGGAACCTCGTTGACATGAGGCCATGAAATATCACCCCACGTCAGCTTGGCACCACGACAGATTGGCACCACCCCTTTCTAGAGGTTCCAATCTGTCGTGTACTGTTACGACTGATTGGCACCTCTGCGGCCGCCGTCAGCTTGGCACCGCGACAGATTGGCACCACCCCTTTCTCCAGGTTCCAATCTGTCGTGTACTGTTACGACTGATTGGCACCTCTGCGGCCGCCGTCAGCTTGGCACCGCGACAGATTGGCACCACCCCTTTCTTGAATGAGGTTTGAAAATACAACAACGCAGTTTTCTGCGTGCAATATTGAGTAGAGCTGGAATATTAATCCAATCCTTCCCAATGAGTAGTTAAATCTCATTCACGAGGAACAGGTGTAGTATTGACTTTTAGATCAATACTACACCTGTTCCTCGTGAATGAGATTTAACTACTTGCAGTATTCAAGTAGAGACGGTAAATGTACAAAAAAGATGGTAAGTGGTAACCATTTACCATCTTTTAGCGAATTTCCCATATAGGGAATAAGCTATTACCGTAGTACTCATGGTAAGACCTGGACCCGGGACCGATTTATTTTTTCATTTTGAGGTCCCTAGAGGCCAAAAACACCATCCGTTCTAATTCATATATATATATATATATTTATATATTTATATATATATATATATATATACATGTGTGTGTCCGTCAGCACGATAACTCGAGCAAAAATGATCCGATTTTGATGAAAATTGGTACAAACGTGTAAACCTACATTTATTCGAACGAGTTCGCGAACCAGCATGATCGGACTATGGGAACTGGGGTTTATGGGGGGTTTTATGGGGTAAAAATAGGTTTTTCCTATTTTTGACCCTAAAAACACAAAATTTTACAATTTATTTCCTAACCATTTTGTAGAGCTTAAAAAAATAAATAATTTAGTATTCTGAAGCGTTATTGTGCGCCTAATGGTTACAGAGAAAATTCCAAAAAATTGTAAATTTAAAATCCCTATGTTATTCTTATGGAGAATAAGTCAACTGTTCAGTTTACTTGTTTATGAACATATTTTGATCGAATTTGGAAAATACATTAATTTCTTACTAAACTATTAACATTAAAAAACCACCTTTTTACCCTCCCTGTTGCAGCAAACCTAAGTACTCGTTAAACTAATTCTATTTAAATAGGGAATAAATATGATATTTTTAAGGAGGCATTTTAATGTGAAATCCTATCAGGCTAATGGAAATTCGCTTAGTCTGCAGGTTTACTGCGGCAGGGGTATTTTGTGTATTTACCGTCTTGTAACAGTATAATCGTAAATATATGTTTTTAATGTTATAAGACGTTTCTTTTATTTACTTTCCATCTAACTAACGTACATTATAAATTAAACGTTTTATTTTCATTTTAACTAAATCATAATATACAAAAATAAAATAAAACGTTAAAATGTAGTTCTTTAATTTAAAGTCAATCACTTCAACAGTCATTCTGTAGATTCTTGTGTAAACCATAATAATACTGCAAAGGGCAAACGTATCAAACCGTTACGACTTCCCAAAAAAAATAATCAAATTTTAAGTTCATTCTAAAAATATTTTAAGTTTTGGAACGGTCAGAGTGAGGCAGAGAATCTGTCAACTATCACTAATCGTCTTGTTTTCCGGGTCCGACTCCTATTGTTGGGGCGTACGTACATCCACGGAAACAAGAGACACTGACTCATAATAAATGTGTTCAGTATAAATATGTATCTTGTACAACTTTTGATGATTTACAAAAACAAATATCATTACGTTCTTAGTCATGATTTTTTGACATTTTACATTAAATTTCTAGCAAATCGGTTTACGTCTGCCTTGACAAGTAAATACTACAGGTAATGTGTACATTAAACATATTTTAATAACTAACAAACATACACGTTATTACGTTTTCTACAATGAGATTCTGTGAATTTTGATATAAAATTACAAACAAATCTGTTTACTTTTGCAAGTAACAACTACTGATTGATGTTAACAAATCCGGACAGTTATTATTTCTTGTGAAATTATTATTATAGGTTAAAAATAAGAACAAATAATGTTGCTTTTTAAACAATTTGTGTTGTTTGGTTGGAATCCAAGAATACTGGAGTGTGGCAAAAGGAAGTAAATGCAGCAAGTAGCAACTGTCTGTACTATAAACATAATTTGTTAATTGTACAAGCAATTGTATTGATTTTATTTAACTAATCCTGATTGAAAAACGTATTTAACATTCTTTTATAGTTAACTAGCAGTCATACCCGTTCTTCGCAACGGGAAGAGAACGCTAAAGAGAATAATTATGTTCCATAGATTTGTCGTATGTAGATACACTTTTAGAGGTCCGAAAAGTATTAACTGGATACTCCGTTTCCCAAACATTATTTTAGGGGAAATAAACCATACAAACACAATAGTTTTTTTTTAACAAATAGGAAAAAATGAAGTCAATAAGTTAAAGAACGATGCACTTAAAAAATAAAACGCCTTATTTCCACAATATCAAAATTGATTTCTTAAATTAATAACCTAAACATACCTCAGGAAAAAATCCTACTTTGACAGTTCTCATTTTGTATCACAGTTTTTTGTTGCTGCTTGGTTAAAATTAGCTGTTGTCATCATCAATTTAAACAATTAATAGTACTGCACCCTGTTGGTAAACCTTATATCTTTTTAATGTTATTTAATATCATAGAACCAACTTGTATAGTTGAAACAGGTGGCAATAGTTATTTGTGCAACTAGTGAGAAAAGTGAGCAATTGACTCACTCGAGAGAAATCCTTACTCGCGAGCCGTAGGCGAGTGAGGAATGGTTTCTCGAGTGAGGCAATTGCACTTTGCACTCGAGTTGCATATTATATTTTTCCTACAGTTACCATAAAACAAATAAATTGGCAAACAAACGTAACATATTTTTACACAGAAGTGATCTTTTAATATGACATTTAATGTGAAGTGACAAATACAACAGTAGGCTACAACAGCTGACCAGCTGATTTACAGCCAGTGCTGCCAACGTATTTCGCGCACATACGACCTTGTCTGCATGTTGCGCTCACTATTTCGTCCCTTCACGTTGCAAATCTGGAGTGAGACAAAGTAATCAGAGTGAGACAATGTTAACATTGTCTCACTGATGAGTGAATTGGCCACTTTGCTTTCTCAAATCAGTGAGAGAACATGAACATTGTTAGGTGACTGTAGGAAAAACTATTTTATTCCTGATTAACTATAGAAACTAGTGTACCTGTTGCTCGAATTCGAGCAATTGCGAACCATTACAGTCGACTCATAAAGATTATGGAAATACTCACGAT